GAGTGGCTTTTCTTTTTATTTGCCTCTGTGCTTTGTAATTGTTTGGGAGTTTGGGCCTTGGTGGTTAACATAGAGGGAGATGAACCTTATCTTTATTCAGGCCTCTTAGGGGAGGAAGCAGACCTTCTTTTCTTAAGGTAGCAGACATATTCTTAAGTAAGGGAGTACTTATAACTCTGTGAGCCTCCTGATGTAGTAGAAAGTACTATTTTTTTTGTTGTTTTCCAGCCTTGCCTTATTGCTTCCCCCATCTTTTTTTTATACTGTCAAGTGCTGTCTGGGCTATTTCTTAGCTGCTTCTTTCCTATGATGGTCATTTCCAGAGTAATCTTGCAAATAGCTTAATCCCACAACCAGCTTCTCTGTCGTAAAAGTGAATCCCCAGTTCTGCAGTTTCCCTCTCCCCCTTTTTTCCTTCCTTTTCTCATCCCTTCCCCCAAGAAGTGGGACAAGAGACATTCCCTAACTGCATCCTACAAGCAAAGTCAGTGGTGAAATTATAAGGAAATCAGAATCACAGAATCAGAATCACACTTACTTAATGACCCACGGTGATTCAGTTACTAGTAATCAGGGATTGCCAAAACTGTCATTGTTAAGAAGCTGACATTGCACTTATTATCATATTGCTTAGTGAGAGAAATTTTGGTCCCGGTTATTAGCATTAAGCTAGGTCTACATATATAGAAACCTTAATTTATCTCTCTTTCAACTTTACTAATAAGATGTACAGAAAAACAATCCCCCACCATTTTCAGTATCTGCTCATAACCACTTCTACTAGTCTAGTCCATCTGTTTTATTATATTTTCAAAACCTTGGGAATAATGGGCTATGAACATAGAAAAAATTGATCAGGACAGACTTGTAATGTATGATTCAGTAATAAAAAGCTTATGAAAAGCTAGGTAGCCACAAACTATTTTTATAATCATGTGTTTTTCAAATATATCTTATTTTTAAAAGGAAAAACAAAGAACAAATAAGCAAAAAAATGAATTGATGTAGAAACATCAATTATATTATTTATAAGTAGACAAAAGAATTACGAAGACTAATACTCATTGTATCATTGATTGGAAATTAGCTATGGAAAACATGAAGTTACATTTAAGCACACTAAATAGTTTTAACAATGTAAGTAAGAATTAAATATCTGAGCTAAATGCCAGTTTCCACTATTTGGTGTTTAAAAGTACAAAAATGAAAAAAAGAAAAACTACTAAAAGTATTATATATAAATATTGTTCCAATTTCTTTTTTATTGCTTTCCAACTAGCGCACAATACTTCTACATTTCACTTACAAAATTGTGTATCTTTGATTTCAATTCTTTACTCAGTTTTTTTATTTTATTTTAAAACATCTCCACGTGTTTTAATGGCAGCCACTCTGGAATACATGCTAACAAAAGCTAATGTATTTTACAAGTTCTAAAATTAGTTGTGTCGTATTTTCAATATCAACAACCAACTCCCCTGGAGACAAGAACACTTCAGGATTATGAATTACATTTGTCATGTAGGCCCAGTTTACACTTGCTGCTGTTTTCCTTCCTTATGACATTGTAGTCACTACTGAAAATACTTTCTTGTGTACACATTACATGCATATGCATATATATAATTTGGTCCATGTTCTTTAAAGTTCATAGCTTATAACAGGGTTGTCGAACTCAATTTCATTGAGGGCCACATCAGCATTGCGGTTGCCCTCGGGGGGGGCGGGTGGGTGCGGCCTACTGGTGAGCATGGATGGAGTGGGTGTGGCCTACTGGGTGGGAATGGCCAGCTCTACTGTGGGGGCCTGGGCAGGAGTGGGACAGATCTGAAGATCTCTGGCAGAAGGGGGTGGGACCGGGGCAAGCGCCAAGGCATGGTCCATTTCTTCTTTCCTCACAAAGGGTGACACCTCCCCAGTATGCACCCAGGGGGCGCGGCCGACGTGTCAAGGGCTGGATCCTCGCTGTTTCTAGACGGCCTTGTGGAGCTAAGACTGAATGCGTTTCAGCATAGATGGCCACCACAAAATTGTACATTGGCTCCTAGGCAGCCCCACTGTTTCTAGGATGGCTTCGTGGGCCATATGAAACCATTTTGCGGGCCGCATCCGACCCCCGGGCCTTGTGTTTGACATGTCTGGCTTATAAAAACCTCAGTTGTAACCTCTGCTTCCTGGAATAATATGCCCCCTGAAGTTAGGCCAGCCCCCACCCTATTACTTTTAAAGATCACTTACTTAGTAACTATGGTTCTTTTTTAGCAAATGTTTGGTTAAAAAGATTGTAATTTAAGAGCAATAAATGTAATATTTTATCTTATTTTATTTTATTATTATTTGAGATTTAATATTTTATTGCATGTTGTTAGAGTTGCTTGAGTAGATGGCATATTAATTTTCTATAAATAATGATTGCCAGACTATGATGATTTGAAAATGAATATAGATAGTTCTTAACTTGTAACTGGTCACTTAGTGATTGTTTGAAGTTATGACTCTGAAAATGGGCTTATGGCCTGGATTTGAACTTCTGATGTCCAGGCCTCTCCCATGGTCATGGGCTTACATGTGATCACATTTTGAGTGCTCGGTAATCAATCCACATTTATGACTGTTTGCTGCACCTCATAATCATGTGACTGCAATTTTGTTGGAAACCAGTATTTACTTTTAGTTTCTGGCAAAAATTGTACCTTTGTAAACAATGGGCTTGCTTAATATTTGTTTTATGACCTCCATATTCACAACAACTGCCAACTTTATGACTGTCATGATTTATGAATGAAATTGTGGGCTCGATTATGGTCATAAATGTAGGATTATATGTAATTAATATGTATTAATATAATTCCTGATTCATATTTCTGTATTCTTTGTGATTTTAAACAATAAAAATAGGAAAGATCCAAATTTAAGCCTGACCTTGGAACATAAATTACCTCAATTGGTCTTTGAGATGACCTGAAGTACAATCTCACTTCTGGAGATGGACAAATGAAGTAAAATACTTTAGGTTTCCTGTATCTAACCAGTGTCCAGTCCCACTGATCATAGTATCTTTTAGATAAACTTAATTGAACAGTAACGATTTCTCCCAATGACCATTTCCAGAAGAAGATTATTGCTATGCTGACTCAGTTCATATAATGAGGTGATTTGGTGCTCCTGCTTCTCAATATATTTGTATAAAAGTACTGCCCAATTAGGTGAACCCAGGACACCATCCATAGAACACCAGTCATATTTCCCAAAAGTCAAATGTTCTGAGCCATACTATTATTTCTATTAGAAGTCATGTTTCTTATGACTAACCCTGCTTATTAACATATACTATTAAAATACTGTGATAACATTTTAAGAAAGAAATTTAAGAACACAATTCTTACTTTGAAAAAAATGTCAGAACAAATTATAATCTAGAGTTAAAAAGTAGAACTCTTTCAGTTAAAAAGCTTGTTATAAGATTGTTATTGTTCTTTAAGAAGTATGAAGAATGTTGATATATTTATACCCTTCACAATGGATTCTTTTAAAAAATCTCGCATGAGCCAAAAGTGTACCTTTGCCAGTTTATTAGTACTTGGTTAAAAAAAGGTGTTTAAAAATTAAATAAACATTGTTAAACAGAAACATTCATCTGGAAATATTTCCCAATGTTTATATTGGGTTTTCTTATCTTCCTATCTCTCTGTGTTTGTGTGTACTGAAGTAAATGACCTCCATAAAACACTGCAAATGATTAAACTCCTTTAAGATGTCAGATATTTAACCTTAATTAGAGACTTTAATGTAAAGTGGTCTGGATATGCAAAAACTGTATACCCTTTAAATTCCTTCTCAAGAAAAGTTAAGAACATTGAATTTTTACAATGAACAGAAAGTTGGATCCTTATTCTTTGGCCTGCAAAAGGCTTCCACGCTTGAAAGATTGTAAATTGTTCAGATGTGCTGTTTAGATGTGAGACAGAAAATAATTGTTTCAAATTATGTTCCCTGGAAATTGAATTGTATAGTTAGGATAATAGGATCGGATAATATCAAATGGCATAATTGTTAATCTTCCAGTTGGTAAGTTTCATTTTTACATTGGTCATCACCAGTATGTTTTTAAGGGATGTTTAAGACATTGGAAAATTAAAACACACACATGAAATCGCAATAGAATCTGCCTTATTTCTTTATCTCATCTGTGATGAAAGATCTACTTTTACAATTTTTATGAAGGTCATAGTTTCTAGGGTCAGATAATTTGTAATTCAGATTTTATATAAGATGATCTAATGATTTAGGACTAGCTTAAATGAGCAGTTTGGAACATCTAAGTCATGGATCAGAGGTGCCCAACTTTAGCACTTTTAAGACTTGTGGACTTCAGTTCCCAGAAATCCCTAGGCAGCATGCTGGCTGAGGAATTCTGGGAGTTGAAGTCCAAAGGTTTCAAAATTACCAAGGTTAGACACCCCATCACAGATTAATTTTTCCTTTCCAGAATTCTCCCCCCCTCCTTTGAACAGAATACTATTCAAAAGCTTGTATTTTAACTAAAAGTATAATAATTCAGCTACTCTAGCATTCAGACAAACCAATATACTCTTTGCCACAACTTCTTTAAAAATATATACAGTGGTATGTTGGTACTCAGCTGCTTTGAAACTCATCAAATTTGGTACCCAATGCATTTTGACATGAAAATTTTGTCCCAATATTCATGGTTTGTTTGATACTCAATGCAGAAGCTAGAACTTGTTGTTGTCAGCTGCTTCGTGACTCATTATATTATTCCTTGTGGGGAAAATGTACAATAAAAATACAATACAAAACAATAAAAAGTCAGTTTTATTATATGGAGAAATTTGGCTATCTGGATCCCCTGTTATATATTCTGATCTGGAATGGAATGAATTCAATACAGTTTTTTTTTCTTTTGTAAGTTTCATTTGTAGTAAAAAGATATATTGTTCTAATGATTCCTACCCTTTTTTCTTTTTCATCCTTCTTAGATTATTTGATGTATGCACAGTATCCCGAACTGAACGAGAGACGAAGTTAACACTGGTGTTTGAACATGTTGATCAAGACTTGACCACTTACTTGAATAAAGTTCCAGAACCCGGTGTTCCTAGTGAAACTATAAAGGTATCAAAAGGGGAGGGAGGCAGAAGAGTTTGTACATAAGCATTTTATTAAATGTATAAATTGTTGAAACATATATTTAATAAAAAGCTTTTTTGAGGAAATATGTACCAAGTTAGATGTAGCTAACTGTAGTTTCATAGCTTGATTAATAAGAAACAGAGCAATAAAGAGAATTACATACAAAAGGATATAAGGAACAGTTGCTGGAATTGGGTATGTCTACTTTAATGAAGAGAAGGACAAGGGGTGACATGATATAGCAGTGTTCGAATATCTCAGGAGTTGTCTCAAAGAAGAGGAAGTCAAGCTATTCTCCAAAGCACCTGAGGGCAGGACTAGAAGCAATGGATGGAAACTAATCAAGGAAAGAAGCAACCTAGCACTAAAGAGAAAATTCCTGACAGTTAGAACACTTAAATCAGTGGAACAACTTGCCTCCAGAGGTTGTGAATGCTCCAACACTGGACGTTCTTAAGAAGAGACTGGACAGCCATTTGTCTGAAGTGGTATAGGACTGTGGTGGTGAACCTATGGCAGGAATGCCACAGGTGGCACGCAGAGCCCTTTCCGTGGGCACACGCACCACTGCCCCAGTCCTAGGCCTTCAGCTGGGTTTTATAAAACCTTTTCACTTTAGGCCTCTGCAGCCATGTGCAAAAAAAAAAAAAAAAAAAAGGTTCAATCACTCGATCAATTTCAACTTCTCGCAGGAAAAAAAAAGATCTCACAAAGTTGGAATTGATTGATTGAACTTTTTAGTCCCACCCAGTCTGCCGTTACCATTGCAGCCACACCCACCCAGCACCCAACAATACATAAGTGGGTTTTGAGTTGCAGTTTGGTCTCTAAAAGGTTCGCCATCACTGGTATAGGGTTTCCTGCCTGAACAGGGTTGGACTAGATGACCTCCAAGGTCCCTTCCAATATCCTCCTCCTCCTCCTCATTATTATTATTATATTTAATCAAATTAATTCATGTTGTTGACAGATTGGGGTTTCTCACTAAGTGCAATTGGTAGTGCATACATTTTATCCATCAGTTACGAAGAACAAGGAACTAGAGGAGAAGATTGCCATAACACGTGTGCTTATGTTAAAAAGAACAGTTCTTTTTATATTTGAAAAGCCAGAGTGTTTATTATTAACTGCTAAAAGGAAGGAACTACAGCCCAGTGGTGAAGATCATGTTTTGCATGAAGATTCCAGATTCTGGAGGAATTTCCTTCGGTAGTTTAAAAGGCTTGCTGCTACTTATAGTAAAATGAAAATGCTGAATCAGATGAAGCAGTGGAGACAGTATAAACAACTGCCATATGATTTTGATATGATTATCTATGATTTTGTTATCTCTTAATTGATATATTTTTCCTATATTAGTGTATACTGCTAGGTGGGGATGAGAAAATCACAACTGTCTGCAAAATATTCTAGAATTTTTAAGTAATAGAGTCCCCTGGGATTCTGTCACTAAATCTTAGAAAAAAAGTTGTGATTTGTTTTTGTTTTGTTAGTGGCATGACTTTTCCAACATATCCTGATTCAAAAAGGCAAAGGTGATTCGGAGCACATATTGATGTACATTTCATATTTGTTAGCTGCTTCTTAAAGGAAGCTTTGTCTTTTTCCCCCCAGACCATTGCTTTTTGAGTAGTTGGCCGCAGGCGGGATGTCCATATCTATATATGCTCCGGATCATATTTTCCTTTTTGAATTGTTGAAATGTTGTAGTGCCCTTGTATATTAAGAGTATATTCAAAAGCAAGAATATTTAGTAACTCTATGGCATAGATGTTTTATTAGAGTTAGATACTAAGTTATAAATTTTATGTTATTTAACCTGGTTTCCATGCTATATATTGTTTTAGTAGATGTTCAAGAATCTTATTGCACATGCATGTAAAAATGTGAAATGTGGGGAGATGAAGTGGGCCCAAGGATGTGTGTGTGTGTGTGTGTGTGTGTGTGTGTGTGTATATGTGTGTATGTATATATATATATATATATATTTGAATTTTCATATCCATGCAAGTTGTTCCAGAAATCTTTGAAAATATGTTAAAAAGGGAGAAGCGATGATTATAATTATAAGCATCTACATAACCTGCAGCTTTCCCACTGAAGTTGAATAGTCTTTGAGCTTAACCCTTTAACAGACTCCTGAGGATGACATCAATGGAGGGAAAAATCCAAACAAATTCTCTTATGTTATTTCTTCCCAAATTTATAAAAAATGTATACTTTGCCCCTTTTTTGTTGCTATGTTGTACAATCACCATGTTATTCCACTTTCTGGTTCTTTAAGTTTTAAATCTAACCAAATAGAACTTCCTTCATTTTGAGAATGATTTTAACTTCTGAGGGAAGCCCAGACAAAGGCACACATTATTGGAGTTAGAATATAGCTGACTGCAAACAAAAAATAATGCATGGAAACATAAATGAAATTCAGAGCTGTACTGTTTGGGTGATTAATCCTTTAAACATTTGGCCGATTAAATTATTTTCACTTCAGTAAGGTGGGCCTAATATTGCAGAACCTAAAAGATCAAGCAGTTAAGGAAAAAAACAAACCACCCAGTTAAAATTCTTCTGAAATGGCATTTCTTTAGAATGGAAAAATTTTGTCCTCTTCCCCCCCCCCCCTTTGGGGAGTGGATGTATTTTTGGTTTTTCTTCTACTTTTTACCATATCAGTATGCATGCACAATAAGATCTGAGAAAAAAAAAATCTCATTATTTATAATGTGGTAAACCATTCAAGCATACTTACTGCACATCCATACTATTTCAGTAGAGAAGTATCACTCTATTATTTTTAGATATATATCAGCTTTGAAATGTTTTTGGTGACATATCATGTTAGACCATATTTTAGTCTTATGTAATCAGATTTTCTGCTTCTCTGTCATTGGTCATGTGAAAATGTTCATAATATTTCCTTCTGTTTTCAAATAACTTCTTATTTGTTTAAGCTGGCCAACTGCATAACTCAGTTTTACGTTGGCTTGTTTTCAACAAACAGTGGTTAACATTAACCAGAATTTGATGGTTAAAGCTGTTGGTAAGCAAAATCATCTAAAGTACTTCAATCTGCATCAGAGAAGAAAAAACAAAGAACAAAAGGATTTTTATCATGATGCCTGGACCCAACTAACATATCAAGTACATTTTGTTTTCAAGGGTTTTGATTGTTGCTGTGACTACAGATAGTTAGGAAACAATCTTGTATTTGACTTCAGAAATAATATGCCTTGACTGTATAGGAACTTTTGCAAGTCCATAGAAGTCTCTAATGTAGAAGAATTATAATTGTGAGTGAATAGTAGTTAGTGTGTTTGAAATCTAGCTGAAGGCATAAATCACTTCAAGCTCCAAGTATGAAGAAAGCAATTTTGTGTGGAAGATTGAGGGTTGTGTAAAGGTCAATTACAGGTTGAAGAAACAGAACAAAGTTGAAGAAACAATTACAGATAATCCTGGATTTATGGCCATTCATTTAGTAATGATTTGAAATTATGATTTGATTTTTAAAAATGACTTATAACTGGTCCTTACACTCATGACTATCACAGCATCCTCACAGTCATATGATCATAATCCAAGCAATTGCTCATATTTATAATAGTTGCAGGGTCCTGGGATTACATGATTGCCATTTACAAATTTCCCAACTGGCTGTCAATAAGCAAAATCAATGGGAAAACTGGCAGGGAAGGTTGCAAATTGTGATCTTGTATCTTATTTAACAACTACAATGATTCACTTAACAAAAATGGCAAAAAAGATTATAAAATCAAGTGTGATCATGTTATGCCATGCTTACAATTACGCCTTTGAACAAAGAAATTTACAGTACCAACTATGGTTGTAAATTGAGGACTACCTAAGTGCTTCAGACCATGTTCAGTGACTGGTCTATCCAGCTTAATATTATTGCTATCAGCTGTCAGTGGAAAATCAGAGAATGACCCTGGAGCTCACACTGTGTGCTCAACTATTGAATTATGTCTCTTTCTGGATGATTAAGCATCAGCAACTAAGGTGATCAAATTGTTAATCTGCCAGTGAAAGTTAAACAGAATATTTTACGAGTCAAATGAAATGCTTACAACCTAATCACATACCTTCATCTGTGTCATGATAATATCTATATATCACTAAACCCACTATCAGTGATACTAGACTAATACAGCAGAGCATTTCCATAGTATAAAATATTATAATGAGATCATGATTTGATAGGTATGATTTAATTAAAACAAAGCATAAAGCCCACTATTGTTGGTTGAGATGGAATCTCATTTACACTAATTTTTTTTCAATATATTTGCAAAATAAATTCAAACTACATTAATTTTTTTTCAATATATTTGCAAAATAAATTCAAACATAAGCATGGGTCACATTTTCTATTTGTTGTCCTTCAAATTACTCCTCCTTATTCTCTTATTTTTCTGTACTCTTTTTTATATTTGAAGGGTCCTTGGTACTCTCTGAGCTTGGTTGTTTTCTTGCAGATGTTTCATTACCTAAATAGGATAACATCACTGGTGATAGTATCCTCAGGACACTAGCACTGATGGTATTACCTAGTTTGCGTAAACATCTGCAAGAAAACAACAAAGCTCAGAGAGCACCAAGGACCCCTCATTTCCACCCTGAGCCACAAATATCCCCCTTTATTGGTTTCTTTTATCTCTTTGACTCTTGACTGGTTCTTTATCTAACCTTTATTCAATTCTCAATCTCCCCACAAAATTGTTATTCTCTATTTAGGGCTTTTAACTAATCTGTGTCTTTCAACAGCTGGACTTCAAGCATTATAATCATGATTGTTTTCTCACAATTAACAATTCTTACATACTCCTAGATTAGAGGCTTCTATCTGCTATAGGTGAAAAGATTTTATACATGTATAAAAGTTGGCTTTAATAAATATTTCTCTTGGATAACTGGAGCAAGAATTTAAGAGAGAGGGGAGAATGAATTCTGATTATACTTCTTCCAACTCTGTATCCTACAGTTTAACCAAACTAGTTTTAAAAGAATGGATAGGATGTTATATATATGAAAAGACTCTAATGAAAGTATACAGATGTCTTTCATGCATTTAAATTGGAAAGACTAATTTTGAAGCTAAAAGGCAAACAACAGTGTGCTAGGAGCATATGCTTCATATTACCGAAGTATTTCATACACTGGTCTGTCACTCAATGAGAAACAACACAGACTGAAACAGAGGAAATCTTGAAAGAAATGACTTGTGGGAAATAGAACCTCCCCTAAATATGTGTTTTATTATCTTTGGGTGTTCTTTTCTCAGTTACCACTATGATGAAACCAGTTCCCAGCATCCATGAAAAAGGCTCCCCCTCAAACCACATATCAAGATGCAGAACACTGACTGCAGATTAGAGTTGGGTGAGAGGAATGGAAGCAGATGCAAATGTTGTTCTGCAGCCAGTAGTCTTGTTTCCATTGAAGGAGCTTATATTGATGCCTCAACCTTATGCTTCCTACGGATGCAATATTTCTATAAAGCCAAAGTTGGGCACATAGCTATGGAACAAGCAGGAACTGAGTTATAATTCCCCACTAGTTTCCATTGAGTGCTAAACTGAAGAGAGTAGCATATAAGAATTGTCAATTAAAAAAAAACAAGGAAAAAAGGTCAAAAGGCAATTGCTAGCCAACAGGATTAGTTCACATGTGACTAGATAAAATGGTTACTCTTGTGCTACTTTGTAGTGTATCTACTGATAAAGGTCCTTGTCACACAGTTCATGTTCTCTCTATATAAAACTAAAGCTGGGAAGACTTTTTGGCACTCCAAACCTCTTGTCATTCCTATCTCTTTCTTAAATGTTTGATTGCAGATAATCCATGCTGATTCATATTATATATTTACCTTGCCTTTGCCTATATAATAAGAAATATTCTATCTCAGTATGTTTTCATATTTTTATGCTTGTAAGAGATTACTAGAGTCCTTGAGGAAATATCTACAAATTAGACATTGAGCTAGCTGGATCAACACTTTGTTAAAGAAGTTTCCCTCATATAAAAATTAATACAATTTTTTTATATATAATGTCCCATAAAAGTCTACTGAAAACTGCCAGAATTTAGAAATGTTGACAGATTGACCCTTGTCCATCTTTTATCTTTTTCAGGACTTATTTTCTAAAATGTAATTGTGTCCAAGCACATGTACAGCCTTTTTATTTAAAAAACATATATTTTCATAGCTTTTCTTTTTGAAAACACCTTGAATTTTTCTACTTATACATACGTAGCAATAATTTGTAGAGATAGTTTAGACAATTTCGTCTTCAGGGAACAGAAAATTGCTTTAAAAAAAGGAGAATGTAAAAACTGTCCAGATTGCTGAAACTTACTTAGCAAATTGAAACCTACAACTCATGAAAATATGAGTTCTCAGAACAATCTATAGAACCTTCTTCAACCAGTCGTAATTCTATTAATTTTCCAGCTTCACATGGTATGACATGTTAGCGTTGTACTCAAAAAGCAATGAAGTCTAGGAAGTGGCTTAGCTTGGGATTCAAGATGTTAATGGGTGAAAGGAATACCTTGAGCCTTTTAAATACCTATTTTGCCCTTTAAACTCCCCAACTCCACTCTCACCTAAGAAAGGCTTAGAGGCAACAGAAAGAAACTGCATGTAGTCTGTGCTTCTCACACTAGTCTTGGGCTTTTTTGTTGTTGTTGTTCATTTTTGCTGTTGCAAATGTGTTGAAGATAACCCTAATATAGTTAGTGAAGTCATGCTGCATTGTGAATTGCAAAATCAAAGATAGTTCTCTAGTATAGATAACAAAGACCATCCTTGAGTGATGAGTGAACATTATATGAGTGCAATGAGCTGGAAAGTCATTATCTTGTCTTTTCCTTAGCCACAGGAAAGACATACTAGAGAGACCTCTTTTCTTCTGGGTATGCATACGAAGGGTTTACATGGCATGGAAAAATGTGTTACACCAAGCAGAAGCTCATGAGTTTGCAGGGCACACAGTAAATCTGTTTAGTATCTGAGGCACAAAAGAGAACAGCACTCTTTTGATAGTGATGCCTGGCCCCTTTCATTTGCTTTTCTAAATATATCATTTGCTTCCAATTCATTGAGTGGCATTTTGCAACAGTGCATACTTTCGTGTGGTAGACTCTCTGATTGGTGGGTGGTTGTTTTTATTTTTAATTGGCATGAGTAAATGAAAGGTTACTTAGGCTCTGATGTAGTAGAGGTACTTCAATTTGTTTAAAGCTGTCTGCCAAACTACAGCATCTGTTTTAACCCTCCATATTCATTTTCCACTGAGTAATTTGTAGAGGGGTAATATCCTAACTTCTCACCAATTGCAACAATTCCTTGATTTGCTAGTTTGTTTTTCATGTTTTAATAACCATGAATGGCTACTGTTAAGTCAATGCAGACAAAGAAAAAAGAATTCTGATCTTGTAACTAGATACAGTTATCTAGATAAAAGAGACTAGTGAGTGTCTACCACTCTTTGAAAAGGATGGAAGAGAATTCTTCTTTCCATTTCTTTCACTATGATGTCTCTTCTTTTATACTTTCCAAGAAAAAGATCCATGGGAAGGAAAGGGCTTGGTGTTTGTTTCCTAGCCCAATTTATTACATGTTGGTATTAAACAAGGAAAAAGAAAAACAGGCGCTTATCCTTGCTCCATTTATTAGAAGACATTGGAAGAATATTAGAGCAAAAAAAATCCTCACAAAGTATATGAAGATAAAAGGTAACTCCTTGCACCCTTTGAAGTGGTGTTTATCTTGGGCTGTGAAGCTAGGCAATATTTCAAAGGCAAAGCCTATGCTGCCAGTCAGTATTACATTGTCTTATATTCAATTTCTTTGCAGTTGGAATCCAAATCTATTTTCCTAACTCAAAGGTTCTGATCAATTTTTTTGTTTGGGTTGTCTTAAGAAATTGAATTTTTTAAGGATGACAGTTCTTTGTTTACCTCATTACAATTTTATCATGCTGATTTGCTAAGAAATTGTTCCTTGCTGGTGTTCAAGTCACTCTTAATCTGGTGGGGGGGAGGGAGAAGGAAAGTGCAAATGCTGTATTTGAGCAAATTTGAGCTCCTGAGCCTGAAGCTGCTTGCAAAAGCATGTTCCCCTTTGGAGCATTATCTCAGCTTCCTAATCACTGACCAGCTGCCTTGTTAGTGAATAGAACTGTGGGCCCCTTGCCATGTTTCATGTGAGGTCTTGGCTGGGTGGCCAAGCAGGCAGCCTGCAGCCGCCATCAAAGCAATTTGAGAGATATTGGCACAGCATTGCCTCCATTAATATCTGTTGTCACATGCTGTCATGCAACTTAAACCAGAGAGGAAATGACCACTGGAGACAGAGGAAGTGTGCTGGTAGCGTTTAGTGTCTCTAGACATTGTCCTTGAGGTTAAACAAGTGGATGCATTTATGTGATGTCCATAAACAGCTGTTAGGAAGCAAAACTGAATTTTGGCCCTATCATCATGTCTTTCTTTTCCAATAAGAAGAATGCTTTCAGCATATGCCATCTCTTAAATGTTAACAATAATTAACAGAATAATTCGACAAATGCATTTTCAGATATAAACTTAACTTCATTAAGTAAACATTATTGCTTGGGGAGATCATCTAGGATTGGGTTCTCTGAACTGTAACATTAAATCAGCCAATGTTATTTTATGTTAACAAATCACCAATATACAATAGAATGTTGTTTGAATCAGGATGAAAAGGAATGAGATACAATTCCATGTTTCATTCATATAATTTTGCATTTTCTCCATTAATCTTCAGTTCTGGTTGTCCTAATATTTAGAAGACAGACCTTCATACATCATGCTAAGCCATGATTTAAATGTGTTACACTTCTTTGTTTTCATGTAGCCTACTAAACTGAAATTATAATACAGCCCTTTAGTAGTATTTATAAAATATGGATCAGTTACTCTAAAAATTATTTGCTAAGATGATTTGTAAAAATAACATGTATAAATGTGATCTTTAACCAAATTTTAAAAAAATCTTTTGATGGCAACATTAACTAGAAGATACTAGAAGATATTATCAATATATTGTAATGCATAATTTTCTTATTTATTTTCAACATGGAATGAAAACAATGCAAAATGTCTTTTATCTTGTCAAATGACTGTAGTAAATATAATTTCATAAAAGCAGCAGAAGAAATAACTATTAACCATTACATAACATTCTTAAATATTTTTTCAGCCAGTCAATAAAATGAAATATGGAAATTGGGGCTGGACATTAATTTATCTTCACACAGGATTTGTTAAAGTCTTTTGTAAAATTAATGTATGGTTGCGTATAATATTGTGTATATTTGCCAGTTAATTCCATTGTTTTGAAATAGGTTCACTTTTTGATTTGTGGGTATTCCAAAATCTTAACATTTTTGCTTCTTTTTATCAAATTTTCTCTTAGGATATGATGTTTCAGCTGCTGAGAGGCCTTGATTTTCTACATTCACACAGAGTGGTCCACCGTGATTTAAAGCCCCAAAACATTCTAGTCACCAGCAGTGGACAAATAAAATTAGCTGACTTTGGCCTTGCACGAATCTATAGTTTTCAGATGGCTCTTACTTCTGTGGTAAGTTTCAATATATTTTGCTTATTTTTTAATCTAATTCCACTATTTGGTTTTGTATAAATGCAATTTTATCAGTATGAAAAAATTATCTGAGAAAACTGATATAGCAGGATTCCTATTTGTCAGCATTTCAACATAGTCCCTCTCCCATAGCTTTATTTTCCAGAGAACTAGGGAAGATTTCTTCACATCTTTCCATATTCCCCTTCCTTCGGTGGGCTGAAATAGCTTATTATTTGACCATTGCCCTAACTGTGGCTTCTCCTTCTGTTCTTAAGGATATTCCCACAGACCATGACACTATCCCAGTGCTCTCTAAATATGTTGGACTTCCTTGATTTCCAGCCAGCATGGATAACATGGAGCAAAACTGGGAATTAGTGTCCATTGTATCTACTGATATCTAAAGATCCAAAAGAAGTTGCTATACTTAGGAGAGGAAGCATTCCAATTGCCAGTTATTGGGATTTAACAGCAATAGGGCAGCCTTCCTAAAATCCAGCAACATTATATTTGGTGTTTTCTTCACCCCTCCCCTAATCTCACAGGAAATGCAGGTAGAATCATATTGACTGAGAAACCGATGCTCTGTGCAAAAGTGGATATTTTGCGTATTATCTTTTTCATATTTTTGATTTCATTAAATTGCTTCTGCCTTGATGGAAGCACCTACATACACCATTGGCATTTAATACAATTAGCTATGTGTATAGTAATTAGTGAGGGGAGATATTAAATTTTGGATGAATTCATATAATTTTTTTCTTTTTTGGTTTAGTCATTCATATGAACCCAGTTATTGTAGTTTATGAATTTGACTTATTTCTATCAACCTGACTCATGTAGTTTGTTCAGAAAACATTATATAAAGAAGTCGTGGCTTGAACCCTGGAAGAGATAACACTTAGAAAGAGATCTGCAACTATTTTAAGGTATGTAGTGGTAAAAAAAAAAGATTAGCACAGAAAATGCACAAATAAAATACATGAATTATGGATTTGTCTGAAGAAAACAAAATGGAATAAGAAAAATAGTATGATAAGAAATGGCTTTACAATAATCTTTAGGTGAACATATTAATAAGAAATGCATTTTTAAAGGTGTAAATGCAATTCAGTGTAATTTCCCAATTGCTGCTTGAGCTCTCCTCTCAGCATACTTATTGCTGAAGAGTTGTACACCATCAGTTAGATAGTCTATATATAGAATTAGACAGCTGGGGTAGTATAGTAGTTGGAATAAGTGGTGGAAAAGGAACAGGAGGACTAGGTTCTAATCCTACCTTAGACAAGAAGAAGTCCAAGAACATGAAAATTAGAAAAATACCAGTGCCAAGTAAAAATGAAAAATTATGTCAAGACATTCTCCTCCAAAATGCCTGTGGAGATTCTTAGCATCCAGGTCATTGTCCCAAAGGTGCTTTTTTTTCAAGAGGCAACTTTATTTTCTTTGTTTTTCCTTGACATTTTGCTTCTTATCCAAGAAGCTTCTTCAGTTCTGACTTCTGAAGAAGTTTCTTGGATGAGAAGCAAAATGTCTTCAAGGAAAAACAAAGAAAATCCAATTGCCTTTTGAAAAAGCACCTTTGGGTTCTCCTCCAAAAAATTAACTTAGTCGTATCTTAATTTGAAATAATTGCTTTAACATGGAAGAAGAAATAAAACATTGTTAATCTCTCAAGATAAATTGTTGTGCAAGAATGCATACACAATGATGGTATAAAAAGACTCTTGGGAGGCTTTTGCTATGACTAAATGACATGTGAACTCCACGTTATTCCTACAGTGGAGAACAGAAATGCAGTTAGAGAAGCTCCAAGAATTATTTACAGAAGTATCAGCCAATTCCCAAGATAATATTCACCCTCATTCTGTCTTAAGGAAAAGGATTCTTCTAATGGAATAAAATAAAAAATTAAAATAAACTGGTGTAAAAAAAACCTGGTCTAACCCTACTGGGAGGCTTCAAACAAATAATTTCAGGTCATTTAATCTCTTAATACTTTCTCCCTCAGTAATAAAACATTCTTCAGGTAGATAGGCCATTTAGGTATATGGCTGTCATTTGCATTCCCCTGACCAATAGAATGAATGTTCAGAATACACAGAGAGTTGTTATGGAAGGAATAATAGTCATAAGGCACTTTAATAGCAGTAGCGAAGTTTTTAATAGCAAAAAAAAGACAGAAACATGACTCGTCTCTAAAGCCATAAAAATATTTTGAAGATTTTTTCTCCTCACATGAACCTGCCTAAATCTTTAGAGATGTTTTTTAGGATTGCTCTGTTCCTATCTTTGAAATAAGAATAATGGCCCCAATAGGGTCATTGTATTTGATTGCCCCAGCTTTATACATTTGTTCTTTTAGAAGTTACATATTTTGTCATTTAGATAGTTATCAGTTAGATAGCATATGTGAACAATGAGAGCCAGGGCAGTGTAGAGGTTGAACTAGGTGCTGGATAGGAACAAGGAGACCTAGATTTTAATCCTTAAGAGAAGACCAAGAACATAAAATTAATTTTAGAAAAATATCAGCCAAATAAAAATGTAAAACTGTTTTTTAAAAACAGATAGTTAAAATCATTTGTAACAGCAGGATACAAAGTTTAATATAATTTTTAAATGTTGTCTAGCAAAATATGAATATCTTGGCCATTTACCTGAACTCTGAAGAAGAGAGTGAATTCCATATAGCTGGCATCATTGCCTAGAAGACTTTGTCTCAACTAGCTATACCTGGACAAAGAAGACAACTTTTTTGTAATAGTTGGGCTGGTTTCCGTAAGAGAAATTGACCTTCAAATAGCTGGCCTTAAACTATTTATGGTTTTATAAATAATCAACTATTTCTTTATTTCTGATTAATATTTAATCAAAAACTAAGGTAGTTTATACAATGCTTAAGTTAGAAGCTTTGTGAATCAAATTCTGGTAAACTTCCTCATTGCCACATTTTATAATATTGACCCTGATATTTGTGAACATGATTTTAAAAGTAGCTTGGAGCAAAGGCCTTGCAGAAGGTCTGAGGATTTTAAAAGAAGTATTTTCATCTGGCATATGGTTTTGTGCTTCATTCAGGGACATTTTTTGTTTCTTTGCTGGTTTATTTGTTAAATTTGTATGTCACAAATCTGATGCTTTGTAAAGACTAGCCTACAATCCTATTTTTTTCCAGACCACATACTGATAGTCCTTGACCTATACAATCAATCACTTAATGATAGTTCAGAGTTACGGTAACTTTGAAAAAAGTGCTATACTTGCATTTGTGACCAATACACCATCCTTATCATGATTGCAATTTGAATGTTTAGCAATTGTGGGGTCCTTGATTGTTTTCTTGCAGACAATTCATTACCCAACTGGGAAACATCAGTGTGTAACATTAACATAAGTATTCATGAAAATGAATATATTTGCCCCCCCCCCATACTAACCACTTTCAAGAGGCACGCAAGGTTGTATAATTTCTTTGGGGATATGGGAGACACAGAAAAATTAGATGGGAGTGCTGCTTCTATATTACTGTAGCATTTTCATTTACTCTGGAACCTGCTTAATTGTTTGCAATTTTTCTGTTGACTGAAATCAGTGCAGTTCTCAAGACAGCAATTCTAGAAATTATCTGGAAAAATTAGTGGTGCAACTTTCTGAAATTTTGACAAATTAAATAGTCTAAGAGGTAATTGTGTGATTCACTTTTTCAGTAACTGTATGGCAATTTATGAACTACGAAGATAACTGTCAAAGCAAGACTTGATAATATATTTTCACGCTGCATTAGAAATATGATTAGAAAAAATATTATATGTCATGCTGATCAGTGTACTATGCGAGTGGAAAATTTTGAAATTCACATAACTGAACTCAGGCAGATGTACTGCTGCTCTTTGATTCATTATGAGTGACGCTTGTTTTCAGTAAGAAGACATTTGACCCCTATCTTCAATTCGCACTTAGCTTGCAAGTTATCCTCAGCTAGATCTCAATACCAGAGTAGTGGGAGTAGTCAATGTGAGTCCCAATTTTTTTTAAAAAAAAGACTCAGGAAAAAAATTATAGTCCAGTCAGTTCAGTATCTGTTCTGGACAAATTGGTAGAAGCGATAATCAAAGAAAACATAACTAAGCACATAAAGAAACACACCTTGCTGAAAAATAAATATGGATTCTGAAAGGGAAATCCTGTTTTAGCAATAAAGATGATTAGGGGACTGGAGGCTAAAACATATAAGGAACGGTTGCTAGAATTGGGTATGTCTAGTTTAACGAAGAGAAGGACAAGGGGGGACATGATAGCAGTATTCCAATATCTCAGGGGCTGCCATAAAGAAGAGGGAATTAAGCTATTTTCCAAAGCACCTGAAGGCAGGACAAGAAGCAACGGGTGGAAACTAATCAAGGAGAGAAGCAACCTAGAACTAAGGAGAAACTTCTGACAGTGAGAACAATTAATCAGTGGAACAACCTGCCTCCAGAAGCAGTAAATGCTCCAACACTGGAAGTTTTTAAGAAGAGACCGGACAGCCATTTGTCCGAAATGGTGTAGGGTTTCCTGCCTGAGCAGGGGGTTGGACTAGATGACCTCCAAGGTCCCTTCCAACTTTACTATTATTATTATTATTATTATTATTATTATTATTATTATTATTATTATTATTATTATTATTATTATTATTATCGATCATCGCACAGTCAGCCAGATGTTCAGACTGGATTTGGCATTTTGTCTACCTATCGAGTCCTTACCCAGGACCTGGGATAGGCAGATGTGGATGTTTGATGGTATTACAGATATCGTCGCAGGATGGAAGCAGTTCCTAATAAGGCCGCCTTTTGCAATTGACTAATAGCGAATTTGTCAATGCCAATGGTGTTCAAGTGGTGCTCCAGTTGTTTTGGGATTGCACCCAAGGAGCCTATACTATTGGTACTACCCTTGCTTGCTTTTGCCACAGTCTTTCTATTTCTATTTGTAGGTCTTTGTATTTTGTT